GTAATAGTGGTAATAGTAGTAGTAGTAGTAGTCGTCGTCGTCGTCGTCGTCGTCGTCGTCGTCGTCGTCGTCGTCGTCGTCGTAGTAGTAGTAGTAGTAGTAGTACCAGTAGTAGTAGTAGTAGTAGTAGTAGTAGTAGTAGTAGTAGTAGTAGTAGTAGTAGTAGTAGTAGTAGTAGTACTAGTAGTAGTAGTAGTAGTAGTAGTAGTAGTAGTAGTAGTTAGTAGTAGTAGTAGTAGTAGTAGTAGTAGTAGTAGTAGTAGTAGTAGTAGTAGTAGTAGTAGTAGTAGTAGTAGTAGTAGTAGTAGTAGTAGTAGTAGTAGTAGTAGTAGTAGTAGTAGTTCGTAGTAGTATTCGTATTCGTAGCGTAGTCGTAGTCGTAGTATAGTAGTAGTAGTAGTAGTAGTAGTAGTAGTAGTAGTAGTAGTAGTAGTAGTAGTCGTAGTAGTTAGTAGTAGTAGTAAGTAGTAGTAGTAGTAGTAGTAGTAGTAGTAGTAGTAGTAGTAGTAGTAGTAGTAGTTAGTAGTAGTAGTAGTAGTAGTAAAAGTAGTAGTAGTAGTAGTAGTAGCAGCAGCAGTAGTAGTAGTAGTAGTAGTAGTAGTAGTAGTAGTAGTAGTAGTAGTAGCCGTAGTAGTCGTAGTAGTAGTAGTAGTAGTAGTAGTAGTAGTAGTAGTAGTAGTAGTAGTAGTAGTAGTCGTAGTCGTAGTAATAATAGTAGTCGTAGTAATAGTAGTAGTCGTAGTAGTAGTAGTAGTAGTAGTAGTAGTAATAGTAGTAGTAGTAGCACTTATCATAATACGAGTCGTAGTAATCATAGTTGTTGTTGTCGTTTGTTGCTGCGGTTTGTTGTTGTTTTTGCTCTATGCTACATGACGTCATTTCATGGGTAGCCGCGCGCGCCATCACATAAAAACGCAGGTTCTTTTTACTGAAACAAATGCGTTCTACCTCCCCCCCCGGACTTATCGATTCACCGGGAACCGATACAAAACACATATGATTATGACCCAATGTCCACGCTACCTGTGATTTCATACTATCTTAGCCAGGCCGATATCGCTCCCCCCGCCATCCGTTGCAAACGAAACTATGCGCGCGCACCTGATTATCACAAATCATACGTTCCGAGCATCCCTTGCAAAAAGCAGCCCGAAATGCACACGCGCGCGTCGTGGCGCGCGCATGTCGGAATCCTTCAAAGACCTTCGGCTTCGGAGAAATTTCGAAATCGAAAAACACCAGGTTCCGCAAGGCGGGTTTTCAACAAACGCGTGCGTGCGCTCTTGCGAACTCTTAAGACAATCGCGAATTTCCAACATTATCATACAATGTTACCAAACGGGATTCGCGCGCGCATGTCGAAATCGTTCGGACGCCCTTGCGCCCGCCCTGGGGTGGCATGGATCTGTGTCAAATAATTCCATACTGGCCACTCTCGCTCGTCTGCCGCGCGCGCATTTCGAATTCCTTCCAAAACCTTCATCACCGACGCGAAGACGCCGTCATTGTCGTCGGCGTGATCAGCATCGGCGCCGTCACTGGCTGCCCCGCCGTCGCTGTCAACATCGTCGCTAGCACCGCTACTTTCATCATCGTGTCTACCGTTGCCGACGTTGCCATGACACTGCGCCCGCCCAAATCGCCGACTCGCACTGAAGTGCCCGCTGGGATGCTCCGAACGGTCAACGCCACCACGTTCGCGTCGGTCGCACCAAACTAGCTGGCCGCTGCGCGCGCGAGCATGCGCGGGCTAGCGCGGCCGCAGAGATGCACGAGCCAACACCCAGCACTCATAGCAATCGCTGCCGCATGGGTTTTGCAAACCACGTTGCGGGTGGGTGGGTGGGATGATTGCGCGAGCAGTGGAGTTGACAACTTCAGGTTCGGCAAATGAATTTTTACACCGCACATATTGCACTAGACCGATTGTACCATGAAGCTGCGCACCGCCACAGATTTTGCACCACGTATATTCTCCAAAAAAGAAAATGAACTCTACCCCCCCCCTCCCGGACTTATCCGTTCCCCTTCCGGGTCTGTAAATCATGTATGATTCTGACCACTCGTCCATCCTAAATATGAAACCATACAATCCCAGCCAGGTCGGGTTCCCCCCCCCTGAGGTCCCTTTGTAAAAAAACACTGGGCGGTGACATTTTTTGTTCTAGCATAGCACTTTTTCGCGAATCCCTTTGCAAACATGGGACGAAGTGCGCACGCGCGCGTCGTCGCGCGCGCATGCCGAAATCCTTCAAAAACCTTTGGTGCCGGACGGATTTCGCAATCGAGTTTCAGAAAAAAAACATACAAAAACAAAGGGGCTTCGCACAACTGGTTTGCTATAAAAAAAAGCTTCCGCGCGAGCTCTTGCGAAATCTTAAGAAAACCATGGGTTTTTCAAGATTTTCACAACATGCTACCAAACGGGCTTCGCGCGCGCATGTCGAAATCTGTCGAACGCCCTTGCGCGTGTGCCGTCGCGAGAATCCTCTGCAAAAGATGGGACGAAGTGCAGACGCGCGCGTCGTCGCGGGCGAATGCCGAACACCTTCAAAACCCATCGGTTTCGGAAGGATTTCAAAATCGTGCGTCCAAAAACCTACAAAAACCTAAGGTTTCGCAACACGGATTTTCAACAAAAGCGTGCGCGCGCGCTCTTGCGTCGTCGTCGTCGTCGTCGTCGTCGCCGTCCTCCCTCCTCCCGTCGTCGTCGTCGTCGTCGCCTACGTCGTCCTCTGTCTTTTCTCGTGTTCGTCGTCGTCGTCCTCTTTGGCGTCGTGGTCGTTTCCGTCGTCGTTGTCGCCGTGGTCGTCCGTCCTCCTCCTCCCACGTCGTCGTCGTCGTCCGTCGTCGGCGTCTCGTCGTCGGTTCTATTTCGTCACCGTCGTCGTCGTCGTTGTCGTCGTCGTCTTCCCTCCTCCCTCGTCGTTGTCGTCGTCGGCGTCGCCGTCCTTCCTCCTTCGTCGTCGTTCGCGTTCGTCGCCGTCCTCCCTCCTCCCTCGTCGTTGTCGTCGTTGTCGTCGTTGTCGCCGTCGTCGTCCTTCCTCCTCCCTCGTCGTCGCCTTCGTTGGCGTCGTCGTCGTCGTCGTCGTCGTCGGCGTCGGCGTCGTTGTCGTCGTCGAAGTCGTCGGAGACGTCGTCGGTGTCGTCGTCGTCGTCGTCGTTGTCGTCGGTGTCGTTGTAGTCGGTCTTAAGAGGTTTTGCAGACCAAGTTGCGGGCGGGAGGGTGGGATGTCTGCGCGAGCAGTGGAGAGGACAGCTTCAAGTGGAGCAAGTGATTAATTGCACCACGTAGACTGCACCCACACTGCTTTAACGAAGAATCGTCGCGTGCGGCGGTCTTCAAAGCCTCGCAGACTGCAGACGTCCCCGCCGCCCCTTCATTCTTATCCGCAACTGCGGGGTGTTACGCACAATGTTTGGATGTACGGTGACCCCGGCGCCGCGTCTACTACCTGCGAAGGCTCTCTGCATGCCCCCACGCCGCTTCACAGGAGGCGATCCTGATGGAAATGATCTCGCAACGTGAACTCTGGCGGCCTCCTGGGTCCCCTCTTGGGGCCGTCCTGGGGGCCTCTTGGGCCGCATTGTGAGCCTCATGGGTCGTCTTGGTGCCCTCGTGGGTCGTCTTGGGCCCTCTTCGAGGGCCTTTTGGGCCGTCTTGGGGCGAGCCTGGTGGCCTGTTGGGCCGTCTTGTAGCGGTGCAGCGTCTGCAGGGTCTCTTTGGCCATCTTGAAACCATTGTGAGCGTCTTGGAGCGCTCTGGGGACGTCTCGGAGCCCTCTTGGAGCAGCGCTATCGCACTCGAAGCTCACGCAAAGTCTTTGGATACCTCAGGTCGGAATCCCCCTCAAGGCCCTCCGAGCCTCAAGGCGAGCCCTGCAACAGGAAGCATGTGTACAAACAGCGGACACATGGTGGCCCCCCTGCGTGGAAGCTAAAACACGCCCTCTCTTGGGGCCTTCTTGGGTATCTCTTGGGCCTTCTTGGGGCTTTCTATGATGGCGCGAAAGTTAACACATATTTAACACAAGACGCTGTCCAATAAGCAGGCGGCGTGTGTTCAGTGTGTGTTGAATTGTTGGCCCTCTTGGAGGCCTCTTAGGGCCCTCAGATGGCTCCCGCAGGGACCCAGAGGGCCTAGGAGGGCCCCAAGATGGCCCCACGAGGGCCCATTATCTTAACACACATTTAACACAATACGCTCTCAAATATGGAGGCGGCTTGTGTTAAAATTGTATTGAGTTCTTGGCCCTCTCGGAGGCCTCTTAAGGGCCCTCAGAGGGCCCCCGCAGGGCCGAAAGAGGTCCAGGAAGGCCCCAAGAGAGCCCCAAGATGGCTCCAAAAAGGCCAGACGTTTCACGCAGGACCAGCACCAGCATCACGGGCAGCCCAGGCAGCACTAGCAGCATCAACGCCAACAAAAAACAACAACATCTGTAGCAACAACAACGAGAAGCAGCAACGGAAAGATGATTCCAATGCGGACCCACAAGGGTTTTGAAAGGATCACACTATTACCCTTGCTGCCTAAATATGCCCACCACTGCTAGGCAATGGCCCCACTATGACCCCAGAGCGACCCTGCGGCCCCGAGAGAACACCCAGACGAGCCCACTGTCTCCCGACTGAACTAAGACGACCGCATGACACCGATTTTACTCCGAGGTGGCCCCGGGACGCCCACATGAACCCGAGGCGACTTCGAGATTGCCCTGAGATGACATCTTGAAACCCTGGCTGACCCCAAGATTGTGCCAATATGGCTCCAAGATGGCTCTGATGCGTCGCTTCCTTCTGCCCTTGCTCTTGGTTTCGGCCAACAGGACGGATGGGGTGCTGGCCCTCCACCCCCTCGTCGTCGTCTTCCTCCTCCTCCCCCTCGTCCTCGTCGCCGTTGTCGTCGTCGTCGTCGCTGTCCGCCTGGCCCCCTTGGCCCCATACGTCCGAATCCCCAACACAAGCCGAATCCATATATTGTCTGATCATGTGGATCGAACGGGCCACTGAGCTAGTTCGCAAGAACATTACGTGCGAAAAGCATCGTCTAGAACCTCCAGTGACAAGCGGCATCTGACCGTCGTGTCACTCTTGAGCTGGCACAAGCCGAGCGCTCTCTCCCTCCGCATCCTCCGTCGTTGAATTGTTGGGCATTGCCTGCGTTTGTTTGAACGGCGTATCATCCGGGAAAGCATGCATGTATGTAATAGAAAGCTCGTCAATCAAAGACTTCGCATCAGGAAGGTCGTCCAACGTTACGATGAAGAAGACACACATGATGTCCTTGATCGCATCAAGCGGTTCGCGTATGGCAATGAGAATGGGAATCGTAGCAAGGATCACAGAGCGCATGAGGCCGTTGACGATGAATGACATGTACCTGCGTAGCCTCCATTCCATTTTGAATGTCATTCCCATGCAAGAGAACCAGTGGTGACTAAGTTTCCCATTGAATGCAGTCGTATCAGCCACTTCGTACACATCTTCCCAAAAGAACGGGGCGTACTGACTTCCGAGCGAAGCATCTCCTGCGACCAGGGATGCAGCGACACAAACACACCAAAAGGACAGATCCGCGTTTAGCTGAATTGCCTCCCACGTCTCGATGTATTGCTCTCTCAAACCCAACAAGTGGAAGGTGAGCAGAAGGAAAAGGGACATCTGCACAAAGAAATACACAAGTACGTTCGAGAAATTGTAGGAGAGCTCCCTGTACCTGCTGTGGACGCAGTAGTCACAATGACTCCCCCGCGATGGCAAATCAACCTCAAATGCCGAACGCTCCGTCGCACACACGATGTCACTCTTGCGTTTCTGAGCCCACTCTTTGTGCTTTACCCGGACAGCGTTCAGCGACCCCACGAAATCCGAGACAACGTAATTACACGCGACGATGCTGTACGTCCACACAACTGGATGGCCACTCACTGGGTAAAAGAAAAACAAATTGGCCGTGAACACCGAACTCAGCAAGATTTTCCAAGTCGGCCCGTACCTCCACGTCAACTCGAAGAAGTTGCCAACGCTGTTCAAAGCGATGTACCCGAGAATCGAGATTACCAGGGCGACCCAATTAAGTAGCACCGCGTCCAGCGCTATCGACCAGCCGTCTCCCATTTTGCAGGCCACCCACTTATCCGCCACCGTGCCGCTGGGCACGGAGTGGGCGTGTCCTCGGGTTCTTTGCCTCATCCATTCAGCCGCAGTCCTCACTCCCGAAGCAAGGGCTCCCAACTTCGCGCTTCGCGCTGCGCGAAGCGCGAAGTGCGAATAACTTCGCGCTCTCGCGCCGCCTCCCAGGGGAGAAGAGGGGGACGGGGAGGCATCGGAGCCGAACCGCGAAGCGCGAATAACTTCGCGCCCTCGAGGGCGCCCTTGCGAAGAGTCTTCGAGGGCCTGGAGCCCAAGTTGCGAAATCTCCCGGGGCGTCTCGCGTGCCCCATGGGCTTCCCCACCGCTTCTCGCGCGACTTACTGGGGCTCCTCCTCCTCCTCCTCCTCCTCCTCCTCCTCCTCCTCGTCCTCCTCCTCCTCCTCCTCCGCCGCCTCCTTCTCCCCCTCCTCTTCTTCTTCTCCTCCTCCTCCTCCTCCTCCTCCTCCTCCTCCTCCGCCTCCTCCGCCTCCCCAACAGGGCCCCAAAACAGGCCAAGAGGGCCCCAAGAGGCCGCCAAGCCGGTCCAGAAGACCCCGGGACGCCCAAAGATCGCACCGAGACGCTTCAGATGGTCCCCGGACGACCAAAAAGGCCTCCGAAACGCCCCAAGAGAGCCCCAAGAGTTTCCCCCAAACGGCCCAGAGAGGCCAGAACTATTGATTTCTCTAGAAGTGAAAAGTGTTTTAATCATTGGGGGGTCCTCGGCTTTTCGAACTTCCCACGCTCCGAGACGGCCCAAGAGGCCCCCAGGACCGCCCCAACACGGCCCAAGAGGGCCCAAAAACGGCCCCATGGACGCGCCCAAGACGGCCCAAGAGGGCCCGAAGGCAGCCCCCCCAAGACGGACCACCGAAAATCCAAGTCTTTCGGGGATCTTCTGACCCGGGTCAATCCAGACCCGGGTCAGCAGGAAACCAAAAACTGCAATGCAGGAAAAAAAAAACTGCAACGCAGGTCTTCGCAGACCCAGGTCAGCCAACAGGCGCGGCCGCCTCGCGGCCACGAGCGGCTCCCTAACCCGGGTCAGCCAGAGGGGGCCTCCGCAGGATCCTGCAGGATCCGGTGCCCTGGCTGACCCCCGTTTGCATTGACCCCCGTCTCGAGGCCCCCGAGTCTTCTACCCCAAATGGCAGCCGGGAGGTCCCAAGGAGGCGCCAGGAGACCCCAGGAGGCCCCAGGAGACCGCCGAGGTGCCCCGACAAAACGCCCCGCGAGGCCCCCCGCAGCGGCCCCCAAGAGAGGCCGCGCAGCGGCCCCCCAACACATCCCCGAGAGGCCCCCCGCGACATCCCGACAAACATCCTGGAAACATACACCTTGCGAAATGGTTAAGAAATCATGGGTTAAGAAATTCATGGTCTCAGAACTTGACTAAAAACCCAGAACTTCTATCAAAATCTTGGGATTTACATTGAAACGGTAAGAATAATCGACACTCTGGCCGAAAACTTAGGTTTTCTTAAGCATCGCCTAAGGTGTACGGTCGAGGCGTTGACCTAAGGAACCCTAAGTAAGGCACGAGGCCCCTTTTTCCCACAAGTTAACCCTCGATTTCCCGTGGAAGACCTTAGGAACACCCGAGGCAAACTTTGAAACAATCAAGGACATCGAAGACATCAGGAAAGCCTGAGGCGAGCTGCGAAACACTTCAGGAACGCGGAGCCCCTCCCCAACGAAAAGGGCTCCCTCTTCAGGGCCCCCACTGTACGACCCACGACCCCAACACTGAAGGGGCCCTGGGACACACAAATAAATACACACAAATAAAACGATTCCCCATATTTTCCCATATTTTCTGGGTTTTTGTCTTCCCCACCACTTCCCATATTTTCCCATATTTTCTGGGGGGTCGATGATTAATTGTGTCTGTGTGTTTTTCCTCCTCCTGAAACACGCTGGCGGGATGGGCCAAAGGCCACTGGATCCGCCGCCCCCTGCTTGCAGGGGTGCACGGCGTGCTGGATGATTCAGGTTTTGGTTTTGGTTCTTTTTCTAAAAGAACTCCCCAATGGGCTTCGGCCCGTCCCGCCGGCCACCCGCAAATTGCCCAAAACCCATCTCTCAATGCCCAAAAACGGCCGTTTCGCTCGGGACATCCTCAAAAAATAGCGAAGATGGCCCAAGATGGCCTCCAAGTCCGCCCGAGATGGTCCAAGACGGCCTCCAAAACGGCCCAAGAGAGTCCAAGACGGCCCAAGACGGCCCAAGAGGCCCCCCAGAGGCCTCCCAGACGGCCCAAGAGGCCTCCAAGAGGTCCTCCAGGAGAGTCCGAAGAGGGCAAAATCATTGATTTTCCATTGGTTTTTGAAGGATTTTGGCATTTGCGCCTTTTCGGCTCTCCGACGGCTCAAGACGGCCCAAGAAGCCCCCAAGATCGCCCAAGAGGCCCCCAAGAGAGCCCCATGATGGCCCAAGTGGCCTCCAAGATGGCCCCTAGAGGGCCCCAAGAGGGCCCAAGAGGCCTCCAACACGCCCAAGATGGCCTCCCAGACGCCCAAGATGGCCTCCAAGACGGCCCTGGAGCATTCCAAGCGGGCCCCAAGTCGGCCCATAGAGGCCCCCCAAACGGCTTCCGACGGCTTCAGACGTGCCAGGAACCCACCAAGATGGCCGAAGTTGGCTCGAAGCTGGCCCGAGACGGCCCAAAAAGCCCCAAAGATCGCCCAAAGCTTGCCCAAGAGGCCTCCAAGACGGCCAAGATGACCTTCAAGATGCCCACGTGTTCCCCGAAGGCTTTCCAAACCGATTCGGGGAACACGTGGTCCGATAGCTTGGCAGGTCTGGCCTCAACGTTCGGCCACATAGGCGCTTCCAAAAAGGCAGGGGGCGGCGGTGATTCGCCGTAGGCGTCTTCGATCCGCCGCCCCCTGCTTGCAGGGGTGCACGGCGTGCTGGATGATTCAGTTTTGGTTTTGGTTCTTTTTCTAAAAGAACTCCCCAGTGGGCTTCGGCCCGTCCCGCCGGCCACCCGCGCGTTTCCCAAAATGCGTCTGTCAATGCCCCAAAAAACGGCCGTTTCGCTCGGGACATCCTCAAAAAATCGTGAAGATGGCCCAAGATGGCCTCCAAGTCCGCCCGAGATGGTCCAAGACGGCCTCCAAAACGGCCCAAGAGAGTCCAAGACGGCCCAAGACGGCCCAAGAGGCCCCCCAGAGGCCTCCCAGACGGCCCAAGAGGCCTCCAAGAGGTCCTCCAGGAGAGTCCGAAGAGGCCAAAATCATTGATTTTCCATTGGTTTTTGAAGGATTTTGGCATTTGCGCCTTTTCGGCTCTCCGACGGCTCAAGACGGCCCAAGAAGCCCCCAAGATCGCCCAAGAGGCCCCCAAGAGAGCCCCATGATGGCCCAAGTGGCCTCCAAGATGGCCCCTAGAGGGCCCCAAGAGGGCCCAAGAGGCCTCCAACACGCCCAAGATGGCCTCCAAGACGCCCAAGATGGCCTCCAAGACGGCCCTGGAGCATTCCAAGCGGGCCCCAAGTCGGCCCATAGAGGCCCCCCAAACGGCTTCCGACGGCTTCAGACGTGCCAGGAACCCACCAAGATGGCCGAAGTTGGCTCGAAGCTGGCCCGAGACGGCCCAAAAAGCCCCAAAGATCGCCCAAAGCTTGCCCAAGAGGCCTCCAAGACGGCCAAGATGACCTTCAAGATGCCCACGTGTTCCCCGAAGGCTTTCCAAACCGATTCGGGGAACACGTGGTCCGATAGCTTGGCAGGTCTGGCCTCAACGTTCGGCCACATAGGCGCTTCCAAAAAGGCAGGGGGCGGCGGTGATTCGCCGTAGGCGTCTTCGATCCGCCGCCCCCTGCTTGCAGGGGTGCACGGCGTGCTGGATGATTCAGTTTTGGTTTTGGTTCTTTTTCTAAAAGAACTCCCCAGTGGGCTTCGGCCCGTCCCGCCGGCCACCCGCGCATTTCCCAAAATGCGTCTGTCAATGCCCAAAAACGGCCGTTTCGCTCGGGACATCCTCAAAAAATCGCGAAGATGGCCCAAGATGGCCTCCAAGTCCGCCCGAGATGGTCCAAGACGGCCTCCAAAACGGCCCAAGAGAGTCCAAGACGGCCCAAGACGGCCCAAGAGGCCCCCCAGAGGCCTCCCAGACGGCCCAAGAGGCCTCCAAGAGGTCCTCCAGGAGAGTCCGAAGAGGGCAAAATCATTGATTTTCCCTTGGTTTTTGAAGGATTTTGGCATTTGCGCCTTTTCGGCTCTCCGACGGCTCAAGACGGCCAAGAAGCCCCCAAGATCGCCCAAGAGGCCCCCAAGAGAGCCCCATGATGGCCCAAGTGGCCTCCAAGATGGCCCCTAGAGGGCCCCAAGAGGGCCCAAGAGGCCTCCAACACGCCCAAGATGGCCTCCCAGACGCCCAAGATGGCCTCCAAGACGGCCCTGGAGCATTCCAAGCGGGCCCCAAGTCGGCCCATAGAGGCCCCCCAAACGGCTTCCGACGGCTTCAGACGTGCCAGGAACCCACCAAGATGGCCGAAATTGGCTCGAAGCTGGCCCGAGACGGCCCAAAAAGCCCCAAAGATCGCCCAAAGCTTGCCCAAGAGGCCTCCAAGACGGCCAAGATGACCTTCAAGATGCCCACGTGTTCCCCGAAGGCTTTCCAAACCGATTCGGGGAACACGTGGTCCGATAGCTTGGCAGGTCTGGCCTCAACGTTCGGCCACATAGGCGCTTCCAAAAAGGCAGGGGGCGGCGGTGATACGCCGTAGGCGTCTTCGATACCACCCAGACTGCACGCTCTCCACCCACAGGCAAGACCTCTTGTGCCAGCTGGCTTCGATTACGAGGTCGACCTCCGTCAGGCGCCTCCCGACCACCAAGGCCTCGAGCTGCTGAGACCGGTCGCGCAGCGACGCGAGCTCCTCGAGGATCTCGTCCATGGACATGTCGGTGTCCCCGGCTCGAACGGGCATGCCTGCCGACAGCACGAGGACCAAGAAAATCAGTTTCATGGTACACGCGCGCAGATTCGGACGGCTTTCGACGGGCGGCGTCGGCTGGTGTACCCAGATGCGCGGCGAAGGCCTGAGCCCAAGTGGTTCTGGTGCAAGCCCGAAACAGGCCAGATGAGACATTTCCCTGCGAAGCACCCGACCAAGTTTCAGCAAGCGACCACAGCGGGAGGCCCAAATCTACATAAACGATGACATCGCGAGAACTCTCCTTTGGCGGGAACTACACGGGATGCTTGCGCAGTGCTCGATTCCCCGGGCAGCAGTCAGAGAACGAGGTGTGGGGCCCCATGCTCGACGGGGAAACGAGCGGGAGCGAGAGGGGAAAAGGGGGCGGCGGGAGGGGGGGCGAACAGGAGACGTCAACGCGGCAGCAGCAGCAGCACGGGGAAGGAGGGCAAGGACGACGACGGGGAAGGAAGGACGATGAACGAGGGTGGCGACTTGTTAAATGACTCGCTGATGGGCAGCGACGCCGATGCCATCTCGCCTTGGCGCCCCTAGCGGTCACTTTTCAAAACGACTACGTACAAGGAACGAGCGAACTCGACCGCGAATGTCAGATTGTCCGTTGCGTTCCTGCACCTCTCGGTGCGGGAACTGAGCGCCCTTCGGCGCGCCGCCAGGTCGGCGGGGGGCCCGCGGGAACGGACACCTAGCCGGGGCTGGCGTATCCTCAGCAAGTTCTCGACCTGCATGGCCGTGGAAAACATCGCGCAAGGATGCAGCCACACGCCGTCCAGGTCGTCCGCGTCCCTGCGCCCAACGTCGGAGATGACTCGGCGGTGCATAGTCCGACCCTGGTAGGCCGCTGGCCTTGAAAGTGTCGACAGCTTCGCAGCTCGCGGCCCCCCAAATATGGCGAGGTCGAACCTGAATCAACGCAGGGCGTCATTCCGCCGGACCGCCCAGCAGCCGTCGAAAGCGGCCGCAACTTCGCAGCTCGCAGCCCCGGGGATGGCGGGGCCTAGCCCGCCACCGTGCCTTGGCACGTCGAGGGGTGGAATAATGCCAAGTGCTGCATGGCCGGGCTTCGGCCGTTTTCTGAGAGGCCCGCCACCCTCCGTCACACATAAAAGTTGCCTGCGCTACCCCTAGAGGAGGAGGAGGAGGAGGAGGAGGAGGAGGAGGAGGAGGAGGAGGAGGAGGAGGAGGAGGAGGAGGAGGAGGAGGAGGAGGAGGAGGAGGAGGAGGAGGAGGAGGAGGAGGAGGAGGAGGGGGGGGATGAGGAGGTGTGAGGAGGAGGAGGAGGAGGAGGAGGAGGAGGTGGAGGATGGAGGGGGGGGGGGTTGTGGAGGATGAGGAGGATGAGGAGGATGAGGAGGATGAGGAGGAGGAGGAGGAGGAGGAGGAGGAGGAGGAGGAGGAGGAGGAGGAGGAGGAGAGGGAGGGGGAGGAGGGGGAGGTGGAGGAGGAGGAGGAGGAGGAGGAGGAGGAGGAAGCAGAGGAGGAGGAGGAGGAGGGATCCCCTGTGCGGCCAACACGCCTCCCTTTGCGTCCAAGCGCCCAAGATGGCCTCCAGGGCGGACCCGGCCGGCCACCAAGGCCGCCAAGATGATCCACAAGGACTCCATGACGGCCTAAAGATGGCTCGAGGCGGCTTCGAGACGGCCCAAAAGGCCTCCAAGACGGCCCAGGAGGGCTCCAATAGAGCCTCCAGCAAATCCCGAAGAGGCCCAAATCAATGGGCCTCCGTATTCGTGTTAAAATGTTCGAGGTCTCGCCATTTCGAGATTTCGTCGGCCCAAGACAGCCCAGGAAACCTCCAACGTGGCCTCAAGACGGCCCAGGAGGGCACCAAGAAGTCCCCAACACGGCCCAAGAGGGCACCAAGATGGCCCGAGACCAGCCCAAGAGGACCCCAAGTCTGCCCAAGAAGGCGCTCAGACGGCCCTTTAAGGTCCCCAAGAGAGCTCCTAGACGACCCAGGGAGCCCCCTTGATGGATTCTGAAAGCGCCCATACGGCCGAAGAGCGCCCTCAGACGGCCCAAGGAGCCCCATACGAGCCCCCGAGGAGCCCCCAAGGCGCTGTCAAGAGGCCCCAAGACGCCCCAAATAACTCCGCAAGAGGCCCACAGAACCTTCAAGAGGCCCGAATTGTCGCGCGTGACGCCCTCCCGTGCACCCTCGAATAATCGCTACCCATCATGCTGGACTGGCACGGTGGCGGGACTTGCCACAAAGAACCGGATTTGACCCGCGCAAGACGTCACTCCGCTAGACCCCCTAGCAGCTCTCGAACGAGGCCCCCTTCTTGCACTTTCTAGCCCCCCTGGAATGGCGACGCCTGGTCAGAATCTGCTTAGGATGCCTCGCCGCTGGAACCCCCAGCAGCCCTCAAAAAACTGGCGAGATTTTCGCGCTTCGCAGCCCCCCAATTTTGGCGAATTCTACCTGAACTGCGCGTAGGACGTCACTTCGTTGGACTTCCCAGCAGCCCTCGAAAATGGCGACAGTCTCGCAACTCGCAGCCCCAAGAGGACGGCGAGGTAGAATCTGAATCTGCGTAGGACTCTCTCGCTAGACCGCCCAACAAGCCTCGAGCATGGCGGCAATTTTGCAATTCGCAGCCCGCCCGGGATGGCGAGGTCGAATGTGCGTAGGACGTCACTCCGCTAGGCCCCCTGAGACCCTCGAAAGTGGCGACGCGTTTGCAGTTCGCAGCCCCCCAAGAATGGCGAGGTTGAATCTTGATCTGCATAGGACACAGAGTTGACCCCCCCCAGTAGCCCTCGAAAGAAACAGCAGTTTCGCAACTCACAGCCCCCAAGTGGTGGTAAGGTCGAATCTGAATCTGCTTCGGACGTTGCTACGCTGGGCTCCCCAGCAGTCCTCGATGCGACAGTTTGGCAATTCGCAGCCTCCCTGCGAGCCCCATGTGAGACGAGATCGGAGACAGGGCAAGTGGCAGGTAGGAGGTGGCAGGTGGGAGGCGGCAGAGAAGAGAGAGAAGGGAGGCGGGAGGAGGAGGAGGAGCAGGAGGAGGTGAGACCGCCATGATCCATTGAAAACGAGAACCCAGCACGGGAGGGTAGGGAAAAGGTTGCCACGCAATCAGAGGTATGGGCAAGAGCAGGATGTCTGCGAACACCACAGCGCAGGTACGATGTGACAGGAAGCATGAAGCAGGAAGAACTCGAAACTGGACAGGCGCAGCACATTGCCGTGCGGCGCACGGGCTTGAGGGCATGGTTGTAGAGCAGTTTCAGCGTCCTGCGCGCCATGAGCCGACGCTGGTATCGGAGAGCCCCTCGCACCAACAAAAATCCCCGAACGACGTACCCAACCGATCTGCAACACATGAACATAGCAACACAACCCATGCTGTGCACATGGTGGCATATCGTGAAAGATACTCGGGGACTTACTCGGCCCACGGCTCACGGAGCAAGCTTCACTGCGGCATAACCTTAAGTCATGGCACGGGGTAGAACAGCGGTGACAACGATGTCCGAGAAATACATTGGGGCGGGAGTGTAGAAACTTATGGGGCAAGGGAATGAGAGGGCGGGGACATAAAATAATGCACGAGGATGGCAAGTGGTGTGGAGTAAACGGACAAGGGGCTGGAAGTGAGGACGAAACGGGGAAAGGAGGAGGTGGTCGCCACGACTCTCTGGCGGTTCCAGAAAGCAAATCTACTTCGTCAACACGGCGAATCAAGCCCAACTCCCGGGCCAAATTCATTGCATCTGCATCCGGACCCTTGCCGCGCGACAATAAAAATGTCCGCGATCGGCCCGCGGGGACGGAACCACAGCACCAAGTCCCGCATCGTCAGCTGCTCTGGAGAAGATGTCACTCCGCTGGACCCCCCAACGGCCCTCGAGAGTGTCGACAAGTTCGCTGTCACGGGGTGGGTGGGCGGGGGGCCTGCGCCGATCGGCGAAACAACACATACAAATGCCTACAGGCCAAGACGCCCCGCCGCCGCTCGAGGCCAACAACGCTCGACCCCTCGGGGCGTCGAGGCGCGGGCCCTGCCGGAGGGCGCTCCGCGAGGGGCGGCTCAAGGACGCCGCCCGCCCCCTTTTTCCGCCCCCGTCGGCCCTAGCACCGCGGCGCACCCTCCGGGCGTGTTGCTCAGCGTGGTGCGCTCGCACAGACCGCGGGGCCGCCCGCGCGCAGGGAGGATGGGAGGGGGGGAGAGGAGGAG